CATGCATCAGTATGCGATAAAGTCCTCAGTTCTGCAGCTAGGTTAATTTCAACGTAGTTTAAATAGATGTTCACCAAGAATCCCTTTATTTTCAATAAAGTTTAAGAAGATGTTCACTATGAATCCCGTTGATATTTAGGGTTATCAATTTTTGAAATAAAAATTAACTTTAAATGATCTTTTTTTGTGTACTCTTCCTCTTACTTTTAAAGTACAGAGATAAAATAGCATCATTTTAAAGTACAGAGATAAAACAGCATCAATGATGGACAGAAAACGCCCATTTGGGCGCTTCCCTAATAATTGACAGTTCCTTTCTAATATACATTTGTTTTGGTGCGCAAATATACCATCTCACTTTTTTTTGCATTGTTTTCGTATTTATAAAAATTCATTGCAAAGATTTTTCAAATAATAGTGTAATGACTAATAGATACCTGTGAAAGTGCAAGGAGACATCTTCTCCATATGTAAATAGAGAGAACTGAGATGTAAACATATATGATGGTTTTTCAATGAATTCATTTGATATTCAATATTTGTTTTTCAATGAATTATTTCAATATTTATTTGATAGCATACTTGCAATATAAATACTTAAGGTGTTTTACCCGTGTCGTGAAACTTTGTTTCAAAACTTCAGCATCAGTAAAAACATCAAAAAATCTGCAAATTTTAGCGTCCACTGGCTCAAACTTCTAGTTTGCGGTTTTAATTTATGGCCAAATTTATTGTTCTTCTTTTCTTGATTAGCATCTAGAGTGTTTATAATCAGAGAATATCTTTATTTCACCGCAGTAGAGACCAAAACGAATAGAGACCAAATGAGTATAAAAGATATTAATAACCAAATTGACAATAAGATGCTTTAAAAGTACCTTGCCAGTTTTGATATTCTTGTGGGTCTTTCCTAATACAAAATGAAATATCTTTTTTAGGTAATTCAATTCTTTTTAATAAATACAAAAATATCTTTTTTAGTTGGAGTTGCCTTTTTCAAAAAAATTTATGACAACATAGATGTTGTTTATAGTGCATATTGAAACAATGATTCTGTTAGATCCAGTGTAGGCATATTATTTTGAATAACAGGTCACTAATTCTTTTTTTTTTTTTTATTTTTACGCTTTTAATTTCCATTTTTAAATCTAAGTTTCATTCTCTGGAAAACAATAAAGATATATATAAATGCATATTTAAGAATTATAAACTCTGTTATTTCTTCATTTCACACTTAAATCTTTTTTCTAAAGCATGTTAATTCAGCCAATCAAAACTATTCGTTATTATTTCTATAGAGAGAATCTAAACATACAATTTTCTGAACTTTTGAACTTTTGTGAAATTGGTTTATATAATATTTTACAAAATTATACAACTTTGAGGCTCGTATTTAATCTGAAGCCCTAAGGTTATTTGGCTTTGGTCTTAATCTGGCCCTGCATTGTATTTTTCATCACAAACTTTGTCTGGCTTTTTATGAGCAACGTATTTTTTAATGCTCATAAATCTTTCTTTTTCACAAATTTTCCATCGTCCTTGGTGTTTCTTTTTCTGCATTCACAGCCATTCAACATTTCATTCATTCATTCAGCCAACCTTTTTCTAAAACTCAAAGTTCTACGAGGCAAGTGATTATTTTTTATTCGCAAGATAAAAATATTTTAAACAAAATAAAAATAATAAAACACAATTTAAATTTTCAAAACCATGCAAAAAATTAAAAAAATATATATAAAATAAAAATTGGTGCAGTTTTTCAAAATTTAAAAAATAAAGTAAATTTAGTGGCGTTGGCAGCAATTGTTGATATTTTGGATATGATACATTTTAGCATGGCACTTTCAGAAATTGTGCAAACTCTAAACTTAAGTATATTAATGCAACATAAAACTAAAGTATATTTATGCGAAGATAAAAATTGCGACAATAGAGAGCCCAAACTTTATGAGGCATTTTTGTTCTCAAGCTCGAATCGAGCTCAAAATTAAGCTCGAATAAAAAAAGCAAAACATTCACATAAACTTAAGCATGAACTGACTCAAGTTTGGAGTTCGAACAATTCCTGAAAGTGTTAAATCAAAAAATCCCTCTACGCCCCTGAGTGAACAGTATTTAACAGAGTAATTGAAAAAAATATACGTTTTTGAACTTCTATTTGTTCTTGAACTATGAAACAAATTAGCAACTTTTCATAAGTCATTCTAAAAAAAACATAACGTCCAGAGGACGCAACAAAGAACTATTGAAAACCTTGTGTTTATTATATTTTTAACAAATGATTTTTAAACTTTGAAAAAACTTTCGCGTTTAAGATCTTTTTTGTTTGTTTGTTTAATTTTCATGAAGGTCACGCTCAGTAAGCGCATTGTATAATTTTTTTTTAATTTACTAAAAATTTTAATTTTTTAAATTACAAATAACTATCAAAGTTTGCAATTACAAAATTGCAACATATAAAACAAAATTGCAACATGTAAAACTACGTTTTCCACATAACTTTACTACAATTTTACTAGTGCTGACTATACAGTTTTCTTTACTAAAAACTTTTGAAAAAATTTTTTATAGCTCCTAAACTCAAAAAACTGTTCTGAGTTAAATGTAGTTTTCTTTTTAAAACCTAAATCGTTAAACCAAAAATTTTAAGTTAGAAGCTCATAAAAATATTACCAATAGGTATACGTATATCAATGTATACGTATAAAGTTAATAGAACGCTCTTCTGTTTATACTACCAGCTTGCTAGTGCTCAGTGAACACTCATTGAGCACTAAATGAGTCCGTTTTCAAAATTATTTTTTCTTAACAGATCCAAGTTGAAATCACTTTATGCGTTATGATAAAGGTAATGATAAAAATCTTTAGTAAGTAAACTGAAACTAAAACCTAAACACTCTGGCTTTCGTTTTTATTAAAAAATGAAACTATTATAAGTATTGGCCTTGCTAAAACCCATTATTTGCTGGTTGATCTCATATTCTGATTGAATGATCTCATTATCCCATATCATTATCAGTTAATGTGAGTTTATATAATTTACCAACGCGTAATCCAATATTTATATGAGTCAGTCAACATATGTATATGTACGTACGTTTAACCCTTTGGCAATTGTCGATTAAAATTCACAATAGCAATATTCGACAAAAAAAATTTTCTTAAATTTTACAAAATACTTTTTTTTATAAAGTATTAAATGATTGCAGATAAACTTTGACGCAACGATATTAAAAACTGGATTGCGTAATAAATAAGATAAAACATCAAAAAAATTTTTAGTCCAAGCTCGTGGCCGCCAGACATACGTTTATTTATAAACGTTAAAACTAGCCAACGCATGTTTCCAAAACAAGTGGGAATGATGTTCAAGTATGTATTTTAGGTTATGGTGACTTTTTAGGCAGGTAACAAGTACAAGTTTCGCGAATTCGGTAACATGGGCAAGTTTTGCGACATCGGTTGGGAAGGAGGCGTGAACTTCCTATTAAACGCTCTTCCGCGGTGCTCTGTGATAAGACCGTAAGGACTTCTGGGGCACCTAAAGCAACTTAAAAAAAAAAAAAAAAAAAGGGCCAGAAGTGTTTAAAATAACGACTAAAATTTATCAAATTATAAAGCTTAATTTTCTTAAAATGTTTTTCCGAATAGTCTTGAAATCAGGCCATCCATTAGCAGACACTAAGCATGGTGGCCATCTTGGTTTTTATTATCGTTAGATAACTGTTTTATATTACTTAAAACGTTTTATATTACGCTATCTTTTAAATGAGGTAAAACGTTTTAAAAGACGTCAAGTATTTAAGTTTAAACTTAGCCGTCTAACTATAATACTTTTCTCAGATCTTCCGAAATTTATTTTTTATGATTTTAAATCAACATTATATATTATACCATGATTATTAAAAAGGAAAAAAAAAGAGTGAAGAAAAAGTTTTGTAGCGCTAAAAAATTGAAATTTTTTTAAATAATCTAAATTTTAACTAAAAAGAAACTTATAATAGAGTTGAATGGGAAACAAATATTCGGTAAAAAAAAAAATTAAATTAAAGCTGATTTTTAATCTATGACAAGAGTAATGTGAGTCCATCTATGAAAATCTGGGACATCTGGTTATCTATGACTTTCTGGGACATCTTAGACAAATACCCCTAATTGTTGTTTAGCGAACTTGTTGTAATGTTTTCTTCGAGAACGGAGAAAGTAAAGCACGCTAACAATTTACAATTTGAAAAAGTTATTAATGTTGATAAATGTTATTATCTTAAATTAAATTAGTGGATAAATTTTATTATCTTAAATTGAAAATTTATTAGTGTTCTTCTGTAATCCAAAACAAAAAAGTTTTCCCTTGCGACTTGGTTTAGAAAAAGTTTTGCGTTGATGATTTTAACATCTATTGCGATGGAAGTTGATATTTAATAAGACTTAATTAAGAAAGTAACGTCTGCTTATGTCGATAATTGCTTGGCAAAATTAATTATATAAAGAAATATTTTCATCAATATTGTTTAACTTTTTAATGATGGCACTTATATCGTGTCTTGCCAAAATGTCTTACACAATGCATCTAGATTAAAGGTGGAAGTGATTTGTTACTTTATTTATGGAAGTGATTTGTTACTTTATTTTATAAAAACAGATGTAATTTTGTTGTTTGATGTAGTTTGTTGTTAAATCAAATTTTCAAAATGTAAACTTAACATATACCACCATTGCACTTGCGGACAAGCCTTGTTAAAAAATAACTCTTATGAGTATATAATTTCTATTTTTTTCAGACCATTAAACTTTTTTCAAACAGCATTTTCATTTATTGAAAAGTTTTATCCGCAATCTAAATAAATAGTTATTTTATCAAACATTCAAATATAAATTTTTTATTCATAAAAACATTGTTAAACGATGTTTTTCACTAAAACTATTAACCATGACCGAGTTTGATTGCGTAGCTTATAAACTAATCTCAGTTTGTTATTGTTTATGAAAACGTAAATAAATTTTGTACAGAGTGTACAACTTTTTTAAACACTTAATTAAAATAGCATGATGAAAAAAATTATTACGTTTCACATTGGTATCTAAAATGAAGCTTCTTATACTATTTATAGCCGTTTGCTTTGCCAAAAAGTTACAGACTAAAAAAGGTAAATATATAAAAACATACACTTATTAACATAATATACATCTTTATAATGGAAATTAAAATTAATATATATATATATATATATATATATATATATATATATATATATATATATATATATATATATATATATATATATATATATATATATATATATATATAGGGCCGGAAATAGGGGGAAGTGTGAGGGTAGGGTGTAACACCCCCTCCCGAAACACTAAATCTTAGTTGACAAAAAAATTACCTTAGTCGACAAGTCTAAATGAATCCTTTTAAAAATGATATTTTCTACATTATTTTTAAACTTAATTTTTCGCTATCAATAATAACCATTTGTTATTATTAATAGCTAAACAACAAAAGTATAATCAGAGATGCGGCTACATTGCCCGTTACTGGTTTTATTGATCGGTTCATACAGTTTTTTTATATGTCTTCTAAACAATTTCATTAAATTGCAGATTTATTTTGGTGGAGGTTACTATGAATATAAAAAAAAAAAAAAATTGGTAAGTCATCTATGTAATAGCATGTTTAAGGTTGATTATAAAAGAAAACATATATATATGATATGTATGAATGATATGTATGTATGTGTGTATGATTTAAAACATATAGTTTTATGTCTGGCAAAGCCAAAAATGATCTGATCTTCTTAATCGCTCTATTCCATTTATAACATGCTAGCTCTATAGGATTAATACATTCCTGGAACGCCGATGCGATGTCACTATTATTGTTAAACAAGATTTATTTTCGGCGTAAGATGAAATTTTTTTTTTCTTCCAATACAGAGAGACTTTTACAAAAAAGTGAATCATTATAAATTTTGTACAACTTCGTAAATTTAAAAAAGATGGACAGCTCGAGCCAAACTAATAAAATCTGTAAGGATTTTACTAGTATCCATTAGAAATAACGTTCTAGAAACCTCAACTGACCAATATTTAGATAAAAATACTAAAACTCAAGTTTTAGGATTATCTAAAAAATAATAGCATTTGGGTTCTTAGTGTCATTGTATTTTACAAAAAATATCAATTACAAAATTAAAATAATAAAGACCATAAAAATACCATTAAACTTAAAGACCGTAAATGATGCTCTTATGTTCTTAGACAGTTCAACTGAGACTATTTACAGTATTATTGCGGACAACTTCGCTATTGATAATTTAGTGCATTAAAGTATGCGCATTAATTAATCCTGAAACTGATTTTAAAAGAGATCAACTTTTTAAAAATCAGATTCAGGGTCAGGATCAAAACTACAAAACCCATGGCTTCCTCAGCGTCGAGGGAAATGTCATCAAAGGAACGAATGTTTAGAAAATTAAAATTAATCATAAATTATTAGATCTACAAATCACGTTGATTGGCTACAAATCACGTTGATTGGCACGGCTACAAAACTTGTTTTGAAGCCGATGAAAGTGGCCACTATGTAAATATATGAACAGCTATTATGTAAATACAAATCTGTTAAGGCTATTTTGTCCAGAAAATATGTTTTACATATTTGATTTAAAAGGGTTGTTAAAAACAGGAGTTAATAAGAATTTTTCATTTTTAAGAAATACCCTAGTCAATTCCTAAACAAGAGGAAAAAAACTTCTTGTTTATGACGTTTTTGACGTCATAAATAAGAAGTTTTAACTGAGAACTTATCGCTATTGCAAATACTCATTATATTTGGTTCTTTACTAACCGATTTTACTATACTAGAATTTTTTTCTACTCATATCCCCCCCACCCCTTTCTTCATCAACAAATACGTGTGTATGCGAATATGTGTGTGTGTCAAATGTTTTTGTTTATTTTATGAAATAAGTGCCTAATGTTTTTAAAGAGTAGTTATCATGTCGTATAAATACGCATTTTTAACTAAAATAATTGAAAAAATTGAAAAGTATTGAAAAAATTTATGAAACAGATTTTTATCTAAAAAAAAGATCTGCGTCCTGATTTTTTTTTTTTTTTTTTTTTGCCATATAAGTATATATACATACAATCATTATTTCAGTATAAATACAGATGGCGGAGGCAAGAAGAAGACACAATTTGTCTTATCACCAAGCCCCGAGAATTGACTCCGTAAAATAAAAATTATTAAATACAGCATATGTAATTGTAACCAGTATATAAGAAATAAGATTTTCTGGTAATAAATATATAAAAATAGTAAAAATATATAAAAAAGAGTAATAAATACATAAAAAATAAAATTTTGCAATATATAACTTAAGAAAAATTTATATTCTTGTGAAAAAATCAAATAAAAAGTTACAAATTAGAAAAAATAAAATGCTGGTTTAACTCTTAAGATAAGAATAAATAAAAAGATGTTAATTAATAAAAATTAAATACTAATTAATATTATTAATCAAAAGTAAAGTAGATAAAGATCTGAATCTCTCCAAAAAATATGTATATATTTAAATATATAGGTTATGATTCGCCCAAAGTGACAATAGGTTGGAAAGATAAACTTTAAAATAAATTAAAAAAGCTAATCTGTACTACCAGATAACTTTAGAAGAAGTCATGCACTCCGTCACTAACCGGAAGTATTTGTTTCAATTTTACTTTGAATTCGTTAAGAGTTTCATGAGTTTTAAGTTTATTAGATATAAATTTGTTCCATACTTTTGGCCCTCTAATAGATATTGAAAACTCCGTTGCTGAAAAAAAACTTTTAGGCTGAATATAAGTGTTGCTTGAGTATCTGGTTAAGTATCAATTTTTATTTATTATGAATAACGAATTAAAAATGTTAAGTGTTATTTTTGAATTAATTTTGAACATAAAAATAAAAAGATGATAAATGTTTATTTGGTAGACGGTGAGTATATTTAGCCTTATAAATAGTTCTTTGGAGTGTGTAAAACGGTCTACATTAGATAACACTCTGATAGCATGCTTTTGATTATTAAAGAGTTTTTAATTTTGTTTTGATTTGTGCGACACAAGCTATGTTTGCGTAATTCAGATAACAATGAATAAAAGAGAAATATAACAGTTTTAAACAAGTTTGATTTAATAAAGGCCTCGTCTTATGTAATTCTATATTTCTCAAGATTTTATCTTCAAGATAATGTATATGATCTTTCCAAGTTACGTTTTCATCAAGGAGTACGCCTAGAAATTTTAACGAGTGTTCTCTTTATAGCTTGACTACCAATACAAAGTATTGGAAGTTTTAAGGGGATTTTATCGCGTTTATGAAAGCTTTAGTTTATGAAAGTTTTAGTTAAATTAATTGATAATTTATTGGGTGGACCCGGAAAAATCCGGTCAACTTTAAATTGAGATTTCTCTAAAGCCATGAATGCTTTTTATTTCAATTTTTTTATTATTAAATGTGTTTACATAAATTAGAGTTTCAACTTAGTTTTAAGGGGCTTGATGGGTTGTTTGGCAAGAAATTGAACTTTATAGCGGGTTGATGTCATCATTTAACAGATTTTTTCTTATTCACCATATTGGTGGCATTAATCCACTTTTTTTGGAAGTCCTTTTTATTACTTGTTATTCCACCTGTCTTACGAAGAACTCCTTTAACTATTGCCCAAAAATCTTCAATCTTGCGCTCTTCAGGACGATTTGGAGGATTTGCATCTTTAAGAACAATTTTCATATTATTATTTTTGCACCACTGTAGAACTTTTTTAAAATAGTGAGAGGCAGCAAGATTGGGCCAAAATAGACATCGGTATTTGTGTTTTTTTATAAAAGGCAAAAGTCATTTTTGAAGGCATTCTTTGATGTAAAGATTGGCAGTCAAGGTCTTTTTAGTGAGAAAACAAGAGGAATGCATACTACAGCTACAAATTGCTTGCCACACAAGGAACTTGGATGCAAATTTTTCTCTTCGAATATATTTTAATTGATCATCGACAGGTTTATCTTTGTTTTCATAGTAAAACTGTTGACCAGGAATTTCTAAAAAATCCACACTGCAATATGCTTCGTCGTCTTCAATTATGCACATATTTTTATCCGCCATTATTTTAACCAACTTCTTTGCACGTCGAATTCCTTTAATTTCACAATTTAAGCTTCTCTTAGGTGTATTTTTTATGAAATGCTTTAATTCCAGCATTTTTAAGTACTTTTTGATATAAGAACAAGAAGTCTTGAATTTTTTTGCTAGATCTCGCTGTGACTGGTTTGGATTTCTTGCTATTGAACGTAAAATCGACTTTACCTTTTAGGATTTATGGGAAGTTTTTTTTCTTCCACTTCAATTTTTCTTTCGAAGCTTTGAGTAGTCTTGAACTTGGTTATAATATCTATGACTGTAGATTTTGGGACATTTGTGCGTTTAGCAATCAAGCGATAGGAAGTCGATGGATTTTTGCAAAAAAAATTCACAACTTTTCTACGCATCTCAATTTGTTTCCAAAACATTTTGCAAATCATTGATTTGTAAACAAAACTTTATTAACACCATTTAAGATAAGGAAGTAAGGTTTAATTAAAAAAAAAATTAAATAAAAATCATTTGTGGTTTTGGAGAAATCTCAATTTAAAGTTGACCGGATTTTTCCGTGTCCACCCGATATTTGCATTAAGCCATTCAGTAAGTTTTAAGAGTTCCATGTTAACTGAGTTAAACAACTTTTTTATATCATGGTGAGCTTAAAACAAATTTGTATCATCAGCAAATAAAATAGCGTCTAATAAATTACAAGAATTGCTTAAGTCATTAATATAAATTAAAAATAAGAGTGGTCCTAAAATTGATCCTTGGGGAACCCCGCAGTTTATATTCATACTACCAGCTAAAAGAAATGTATTGTTTTTTATTTGAAAAATAGCTTTGAAACCGTTTAATATTCGAATTTTTAATCCCGTAATTTTCTAGTTTATTTAGGAGAATATAATGATCAACAGTATCAAATGCTTTGCTAAGATTAATAAAAACACCTAACGTATATTTATTTCATCAAATGCCTGAAAAATATTTTGAACAAGATGAATAATTGCTCAATCAGATATA